CCCCCCCCCCCCCCCCCTGACCCAAACGCCGCCTCGGCAGAAAGCTGATAACAAACCTCTTTGTGAGCTTCTGCTCTCTTGCGCGGGGCGACAACAAGCGGTTCGAGATTCTCAGTGTTATCTCGAGCGTGCTGCGGTTTAACGAGGATGAGAAATTCAAGGTTTGTGCAGGGGGGAATGGGGGGGCGGGGGGGTTTAATGATTTTCACGGGGTAGAATGGATCTCGCCCATGAGAACTTGGTATCTAAACGCATTTTTCCGCCACTGTCTGCCAGGTCGGTCTGATTAGAAAACCCGGATGGATTTTGGGCGGCGGGACACCGCCATCTTCCCCGACTGTTTCCGCTCCAGCGGGAGAGGTAAGAGAAACCCCTCGCAACTTTGAAGACAAATTGGTTTTAGGTACAAACGGGATCGTGGTGGAGCCGCATCCTGATCCCACCGTCCCCGCCTTTCCCAGTCCTTCACCGACATGTGGATCGGCTTCCTCCTAAAAGAATCAAGCACCGCCGCCGGTGGAAACCTGGACCCCAACTCCGCCGCCGACCGCAGCTCCTCCTTCGACCTCCCGCGCACCCCTACCACCCCTGCAGGACCTCGTCGCGGCAGCTTCTTCTCCTTTGGCACAACCCCTGACCCGATACCGGCACCGGCACCGGTACCGGAACCCGCCGCCGCGCTGCCTGTGCCGACCCCCGAAGCCACGACCATCGAAGAGCCGGAACCCCCACGGACCGGGCTGACGAGATCTCCTAGTGGGTATGATGCTGGCTTGATTGGGAAGAAGGATTGAAAATCGCTCCGGTGGTGAGATTGGGGCGGCTGTTGCCGATGGCCCCGCTAGACCTATATATATATATATATGTGTGTTTTGTGTCTTGTTGCATGGTTGTTCCGTACACCGCGACGAGTTACGGGGGCCGCGAGGTATGGAGTTGACGAAGGATGGATGGGTTGCTGGCGGCAGCCCCTCCGTCCAGTGCCCATAAAAAAGACATTTTTCAAAATGGCAGCGTGATGCCAGGTGCTCTTTGATCGAAAGAGCCACCTTGTCTGCAGGTCCTAAAAAAAACTACACGCGATTTTCATGGATTGCGCATGTTGAGGGCCGACCTTCGTTCACCGACGGATCCTATTCAACACCCTCATCATCTTGATTTGAGGAATTGCTGCCCCTATGTAATGCCTCCTTCATTGCCGCCCCTTGGAAGAGGGACTCGGTGTGATTGAGATGTTGCGAAAAGATGCGACCCCCGACAGTTCAAAAGGAGCATCGAGTTAAGGCGACCAAACGTTGCAAGTCTTCGGGAGCATTCAAGCCCCTCGAAAGATGGGGTCGTTTCTGCTTCATGCCAAACCTGTCGAGTCTTTATAAGCTCGATTGAAAAATGATGTCAAGAGCATAAGGCTCTGGGCATAAACCTCCCCACATCTAGGATTCCCAGGATAGATTTTGCGTTACCAGACCCTCGGGTCCTTCGAACCAACCGAGGGCACGGTAAACGACAAATCTCCAGGCAAACACGTCCCGGCACAGATTTCGAGAGATTCCTCCTGCTCCCCCTCACCCCCCGGCAAGATGAGCTCGACAACACCTGAAAACACCCTCCCGCCCCACCATCCGAGAGTTCCTCCCGACACTCGTCCTCCTGCCCAACTGGAGGAGCTGAGCAGTACTAGAAGCAGGCCTCTGGTTGGGCAGGAAGACGATGTGGGGAGAGGCTAGGGGATGGTGGGGTGGAGGGCGAGGCTACTGCAGCTCAGCTCCGCCGGAGCTTGCAAGGCGTAGCTTCCCTCGCGATCGCGGCAACCCCCTGAACTCACATCCCCCTGCATCCCCACGCTTTCCCCGCTTTCCGACATCTCCGCGTGCTATTTCCCCGCGCCTCATGCACTTGGCCAGTCGCCTTCCTCTGGGTCTGTTTTTTGTTCTCTTCGTGGGCGCGGCATCTCTATTTTTGTTGGTGGCGTCTGCCAGGAGGGTTGAACCCTTCGAGGTGGGGCCAGCTTGTGGGGACGACGTGCGCAGGGTCCAACGTCCAGGCTTCGAACTGAGATGGCGAGCAGGTCTGACATATCAATACGCCCTTGCCGGCTTCTTATGCCTCGGAGTGCTTTGACCACTGACGCCGATCTGGGATTCCAGCGCAGATTCTGAGACCTTACCGGGCCGTCGCGTCAAGCCGACAATCTGGTACAAAATCTATTCTAGGAATCCTAGATTCGGGGAGGTTTATGCCCAGAACCTAAGAGTCTCTGGCGTAAAAAAGCCATCGCAGATATGCCAGCGTCAACAGATAAATCGGACAGCTTTCGAGAGGCAGAAGGTGACGTAGCAAACTAATATCATGACCAGGTGTCACCACTAGTTTGGGTGGATGAACGATGGAACACCCATCTTGCTGCTGTGAGGTTCTGTCCCCTTGCACGGGGCAACAAAAAGCAATCTGATATCTCGATAAAACCTCCAGTCGTTGGGTTCTTGAAGCGGGGCCTTGCCCCGACCTGCCACTGCCATGATATCAAAGAAGCTGCCGCCGCTGTTCGGTTAGAAATGACGCTAAGACGCTCGGGATCTGGGAATCATCGAAGGATGAGAGTTGCTGGCGTCTGGCGAAAACATAAGCTTTTCGGAGGCAGAGGGTCAAGTTGCATCGGGTGTCGGGACCAACCAACGACAAAAAGATACCTACCCAAGGACCAGGCAGTGCCACTGGGGTGGAATGATCACCCAACCTGCTGCCGCTAGCTTCTGCCCCCTTGCACGGGGCAACAACAAGTAATTTGATATGTCGATAAAACCCCCAGGGTATGGGTTCTTGAAGTGCCATGACTGTCGCAATCACATCAAAGGAGCTGCCGCCCCTGTTCGGTTAGAAATGACGCTGAAGACCCTCGGAATCTGGGAATCATCGAAGGATGAGAGAGGCCAGAACAGCCGCAGACTATGTCCTAGCAGGCGTCCAAAAAATAGATGGAATGATTTTCGGAGGCAGAGGGTGAAGTTGCGTCGAGAGTCGGGACCAACCAACGACCAAAAGGTACCGCCAAGCTGCCACTGGGGTGGAATGAACACCCAACCTGCTGTTGTGAGCTTCTGCCCCCTTGCACGGGGCAACAACAACTTACACTTTTTGGATCATTGGTTGTTCCCGACACAACGACCCCTTCTGCCTTTCGACATATCTGCAGTTTGGTCTTGTGGCCTGCATGGATTTTGGGCCTGTCGGGAATGCTGCATCTAGCTCCCACCGCACCCTTTGAAGTCGTTCAACCACAGGTGGATCGCCATCCTCCTGAAAGAAACAAACCGGAGAAGGCCTAGACGGTGGCTGGACTGGACCTCATTTCAGAGGCTCCTCCGACGTTCCCCACAAGGCGCACCCCAACCACCCTCTCCGTGGGTATAACCCCCCGACCCATTACAAGAGCCGGAACCCGCCCGGCCTGTGCATCAACCCAAATCGATGACCAGATTCAAAGAGCAAGAACCCGTACAGACTAGGTTGACGAGATCCCCAGTATGTATGCTTGATTGGTAATTACGGCACTTCCAAACGTTCGCGGTTGACCATCGTGTTGACCGTTGTGGACCCGCAATATGTTGGGGTTGACAAGAAGCGCCCGATCCGATTGCCCGCTGCAGGGCCCCTGCCCCTGAATTGGCGATCCTCACCGGGGATCCCCGAGTGGGTACGGCGTTGAAAAGGTCCGACGAAACTGGATCGTCAACTGCTCCCTCCATCTCTGCGATCTCCATTTAATGCCGCAACGTTGTCAAAGAAGACTTAGAGACGTTCGGACCCGAAAGACAAGAGGCGTCAACAAAAAAATATAAGCTGTCCAGAGGCACTGAAAGAAGACTTAGAGACGTTCGGACCCGAAAGACAAGAGGCGTCAACAAAAAAAGATAAGTTGTCCAGAGGCACTGAAAGAAGACTTAGAGACGTTCGGACCCGAAAGACAAGAGGCGTCAACAAAAAAAAAGTAAATTGTCCAGAGGCACTGAAAGGAAAACGATTTAAACCTCACACATTGCCACTTGGGTGGATTGAACACCCGACCTTCTGTTGACTCGTACTATGTACAAGACAGACGCGCTACCACTGCGCCAAAGCGGCTGATGTACGACAGTCCGCGTATTGTATTATACTTCAAAAACGTTGCGGTGTCCCTTCGTGTCTCCTTGGAATTATGTTTCAAACAAAGCATTGACCCTTCCTTCCGAATCCTTCATCCCTTCACCCTGGCGATCGAGTCGGGATTCGGGACCCCTGGATTTGACCGTTTGTGAGGCTCCCCCCCACGCCGATTCCCTCTTTCTCTCCCAAGTTCTCATCGAGCTCCAAGCTCGTCTGCTTCATCATCGACGCTGAAGCAAGTCCGAGGACTTTCCGCCGCTTCGTCGTCGACCGACTTCTCCTTCGACCCAACCCAAACCTCGGTCGACCGCTTCAGCTCCTTTCTAGGATCGCGACTCCAAACCACCACGTCCCGAGCTCGAGGAACGGGACCAGTCTCCCCTCGTTAATCGCATCCGATCAGACCACTACAAGTTTGAAAAAGTCGATAACTCCTCATCCTTCCCGGATCTCCCGGTCTCGACCATACCATCTCCCACCTCCCTCCACTCCCACTCCCCGAGTCCGAACACTCCCCCCCTCCCATCTGCCTCTGGCGCAAGCACCATCCGCCCGTCCGTCAACGGGAATCCAGGCCTCATCTCATCGCACTTCTGCAACTCCCAGCCCCGCTATTCGCCAGTGATCCGCTCCCCAGTCATACCCTCAGCCTCCCCGTCTCCGCCCCGATAATCGCGACCTCCTCCTGATCTCCCTCCCCCCCATATTCTAAATCCCCCCCGCATACCCACCAACTAATCGCGATGTTCAACACCGAAAACGGAAACTCCCGCGCCGGCTACTCGTTTGCGTCTACCACAGAAATCTACTGCTACATCGGCTTCGCGCTGTTCGTCACCGCGTTCCTTCTCACCACGGTGGATGTCGTCGTTCGATGGCGCCACGTCCTCGCCATGCGCCAACGCGACGCCTTCGACGCGCCCACAAAGCCCGATGGGTCGCAAAGACTCACCGCCTCGATGTTCAAAAAGCTGGCGAGCGGGGGCAAGGCGCTGTGGCCGGCGTTCGGACCCCGCCTTCGAGGGTTTGCGAGCTCGAAACGGCGCGGTCAGGCTGTAGCGGCGGAGGCGGAGTCTCTTATGGAGGGTTGCGATGCAGGGTACACTGAGGATGGGAAGCTGTTTTACATCGAGTAGGTTTCGGTTTGATGTGGGGGCGAAGGGTAAAGAGGCCTTTGAACCGATATTGATGTGTTCTCCCCTCCCCTTACTATTGACCCTAGGCAAGAGCGCCGACCCTCTTTCTGGAATACATCCTTCGCATCTCTCTCTTTCTGGAACAAGAGCGCGAAGGCCGCCTCCAACGTCCCGCTTCCACTCCCTGCTGGCTGGGAGGAATCAAGGACACATGGTAAGGTCTTCCTCCCGATTGAGCCGGCCCCTCTGAAGTCTGTCGAAATCTTCATCCTTCTGACAGAACTTCGCCCCAACAGACAATGTCCCATACTTCGTGAACCACGTCACCATGGAGACGACGTGGGTCGACCCGCGTACGGGACGCGCTGCATCAGACGTTATGCGGAAGAAGGTCGTTCGCCCTGTCGTGGCGCCACGGCAGGATGCGAAGGGGCAGCCTTCTTCATTTCACGTGAGTACATCGGTCGCCAATCATGCGCTTCTATTTTTTGGATTTGTCTGGATCTATACTCTGAACTGACGACCTCCTTCGTCCCGGTGTTTCCGCTTCGAATCCAGAACAACGCCTTCACTCGCGTTTAAGCGCCGCTCGTCGCGCATATCTTCTTTTGGTTTCTTCATATTTTTTTTGGGACCGCAGTGCGACGATGCCGAAGAGGGAGGAGGGTATGTGTGTTGGGGGCGGCGGA